GTGTAGTAGCTTTTACCTTTACATTTCTGACGAGGGCCTGAAGATGAAAGGCCCACCACTGAACGCCAGCTCCCCTCTCAGCCCCACCCCAGATCCAGGCCTCCTTAAGTCCACTTGATTGTCCCCTCGGAGGCGTTTCCTCCTACTGAACCTCTTTGTCATTGCTGCCGCCACGCAGAGGTGAGGTGGTGGAGGACGAGAACAGACAGGGGTAGGATTCCGGCCCACGCGGTTCCCACGCGTGCCTCCCACTCCCTGAAGCCTCAAGCTCGCCCTTCTTGGGACCTGCAAAACCCTCTGAAGAACCTCCGCCACCCCCCAGTCAGCACTGTTCCTTCTGTGGGCCAGAAAGCCCAGGACAAACTGAGTGGAAGACAAAAGCAGGAAGCTATTTGGGCAAACAACGCTGAAGGCACTGCAGCAGCCTTGGTGTGCAGGAAAGCCAGAGACCGGGTGAGATGAAAATTTTAAAAGGAGAATGAGAAATTCAAGCAACTGTCAAAATTGGCACTACGAGGTGATTGGTAGCAGATTGAGGGAGAACATACAGCCTATGCAAGTTTCCCAGAATTCGGAGGCTGCATCCCAAGTTAGGAAATGTAGGCGACGTCTCGCAGGACCGGCTGGCTACGTACAGTGAACGACTTTATTGGCTTTATTTGTGCGAAGGGTCCATAGACGCGGGTTCCTCAGCGCACCATGGCATGCTTCCCTTGCCCGATATCCCCAGCTGTAAAATATCCTCAAAGGAGCTCAGTGATTTCAGCCAAACAGCAGGAGCTCTGCCTTTTAGCAAACATTCACATGCCCTTCCCTTCGCGCCTCGCGTTAGGCTGGGAAAGTGTGGTAGGTACCCGCAGCCTGGCTGGGGCTGCCGGGCTGGAGAGCTCACTATGCCGGGGAGACCCCGTCCCCTGCAGCTGACCCCCAAATATGTTTGGGCTCAACAGGTATCACGGGAAAACTCGCACTTAGCCTCGGTCGTCTGCTGGAAGGAGCCACCCTTGTGGTTTCCTGCCGAGGCTGCTGTCGGAGGCCCCGCGCACCCAGCCAGCGACCTAGACCCTCGCGAGCAGTCCGAGGTGCATTTTGTGCACCAGCGAGTGTAGTAACGCTGCCCGCCGAGGAGGAGCGTTTTAGCTCAGAGCTGGACTGAGATTGCGGGAACACACACACACACACACACACACACACACACTGGAGCTTTAAGTAGCAGGTTGGGATTACAAGGCAGTTGCTGCCACAGAGACCAGGGGAGACTTCCTGGTATTTAGGACTATACATTAAAATTCGAGACGTGTCACCCATCCATAGTCGGCCACCGTAAAGGCAGAGGTAACCTCTCCACTTCCCGCCTCCCCAAACATGAATTATCATTTCCACGGAATGCAAATGCACCGCCTGCCGTGGGGACAGCCAGCTGCAAGCTGGACAATACACTGTTTCATGGAGACGCGGCCAATTGCGGTTCCGAGAGGCGCTGGGTACAAAGGCAAAAGCGTCCGGGCAGTGTTGACGGCCGCGGCGCGCCTGGGCCAAAACCGCCCCGCACCCCAACGCACAGACACCCGGGATTTGAAACTAGCTCCACGGAGAGCGACATCCACCCGGGCTATCCGAGCTAGCATGAGGAGGGACGGTTCAAAACGGATGGCCTGAGTGAGAAACACCGCCCGGGTATTCTCCGAGCAATTAATGGTCAGCAGGGTGCGGGAGAAGTTGTGGAAAAGGCGTGTAGATCCATTTCCCCCTGAGGAGAGCTCTTCTTCCAGGGATCCCGACTATCCCTTGCCTTTTGGCAACCTTCCCCCTCCCCTCTTCTGCACATGTGACGCTCCCTATACCTGTCTGAGGATTTTCTTCTTGGTCAACAGCTAATGACTTTCGCCCTACCTTCATTCACCCTCAGAGGTGGATCATTACAGACTTAGTGGCATCGCAAACCATTTTACAGCCTCATCCTCCCCCCTAAATGTTTTACCACAAGACCCAAAGAAGCTCCCCTGTGTTTGTCATCATTGCACAGACCTCATAGAAATAATTCAAATACCATACAGCCCTTCGATGTTGGAGTGGCAGTGTTTGGAAGACCCCTGTCTCCTATTGCATGTAAAACCCACACCTTCCTAGCACATCGGTAACTTTGTTCCCAGAAAGGGTTAAAAAGCATTTACAACAGTGTTTCTAATATAAATAATCCATCCAAAGCATCAGACCCCACGGATCTGACTAGAAATCAAGGTAATCCCCACCAGCAAGAAAAGTCTTGCAGAGGAATTCTGCCCTGGTATCCACTAGTTAGCGGCTATAGGAATCAACTCACGTATTCCTTTGAGCATACTGCAAGAATATTTATTGAGCAGAAGCTCAATCACCGCATTGAACGCCAAATCTGGCAAGCAAAATGCATTTCCTATCCGAGGGGGAGAGAAAAAAAAAAAAAAAAAGAGCCGTGAATCAACTCCTTCATCATTATCATCACGATCATTTTTATCGGTGCAAATTGCAAAGTAAGCTACCAGCCCCCTCGCTCGGTTGAGGGGACCCTCAGCTCGGACACCTTACCTTTCACACAGGACACCGTCAGTAAAAAGACGAGGTTCCAAAACGTAAATCCACTTTTAATCCCCATTTTCTTCATTAGGAGGAAGTCGAGGCGGCCACATCTAGCGCAGGTCCGCATGCCAGGCTCCCGGGGCTTGGGCTCCTGCGCTCGGCTTCCCCCTTTGCGGATGCCTCGCGTGTTATTCGCCGGCTCCTAATTCCTGCTGCTCAGCCCAGCCCGGCGCAGTGGAGTTGTTGCTGTTGTTGGTGCGCGGTCACAGCTCGCAGTGAATGGTATTTCTGGGATACCACAGCAACCTTGACGAGGACTCAACCATCTCTCCAACGGGGGCACAAAGTCTCCGCCACTCCGGATTCCGTCTTCTCCTGCGCGTTTTTCCCCTCCACCAAAACCCACCTCGATTCCGCCTCCCGACCGACCGCGATGGCCAGCGAGCCTCTCAGAGCCCCGCGCCGCTCGCCTTAAACTCCCCACAATATTTGCAATGACGGGGCTTGGTGGTGGATTTTTTTTTTTTTTTTCCTTTTTTGTCCCTCCCCGAATAGATCAATTCCGCCCGTAAGAAGCAGCCGAGAGATATTAGGGTAGCGAGCCCTCCATCGCCGCCCGAGCGCTCCGAGGCTCCGGCGGGGACCGCGGCGCTCGCGGTCTGCGTGGCTTCGGGAGGCGGCGGAGCTCGCGGCGTGATCGCGACGGGGACGTGCGCTGCCGCCTCGGCGGTCACGGGGCGTCTCGGCGGGCGCCTCGCATTTATTAGCCTCTGATTGAATTGAAAAGAAAAAAAAAAAAAAAAACCGCAGAGAGGAATTTACGCGCACACGTGTATTTACATACTCAAGCACCTACGTGTAAATCCGCGGCCAGGATTTTTGGCTTTCGGGGGAATGGGTCTCGTCCCTGCGCCCGGCAGGGGTGCGGTGCGCTGGGGGCGGCGGAGTCCTTTCCTGCCGGGCTCCCAAAGCCCCTTCGGACTGCTGTGCACTGCGATCCAACTACTTTCTCGGTGGGGCTTATCTAGAACACACTCATTCGTCTTAATTCTGAGTCGGTCCCCCATATGTAAATGCCAGGTTTCTTTCAAAATGCAAAGTGTGTGCGTCTGCATCTGGACCGGCAGCTCCCCGCAGCCCGCAAGGGTTAAGATTGTGCAAAGGAAGAGCTATTGCGCCATCTACTGGCCGTCTCCGACCTGCTCCTTCTGCGTGTCTGTCTACAAAGGACCCTGTCACTCTGCTCCCAGAGTGCAGAGGAGCTGCGTCCCCGACACCGGGGTGTTCACCGATTTCCTCATCTTTCCCTCAAGGCCCTGGCCCAGATCTTTTGACGATCGTATTCCTCATCGCGGGGCCTCCTACATGGGTGACCTGATCCTTGAGGAATCTGGGCTCCTCTCCGGAGTGGAGAGGGCTGCAGAGCAGGTTGTGGAATAGGTAATTGCTGCTGCCTCTGGCCCTATTTACATGCGGAGAACTGAGCTTTTTTCCTACAGGATTTACGCAAAAGACTGGCCAGTGTGAGCTTGCAGCTCTCCACCTTTCCTACTAATAAAAGGAACTCATGCCATGCACCATACAGTCGCTGGGTCAGCTATTGTCCCAGGGTTCGCTCTGGAGCCGCCAGCTCAGTGGACCCGGGCTGTTGCATCTGGAGGGTTGCCGTCCTCGGGCAAGTGCGCACTCCCCGAGTTCAATCGGCAAGAAGGATTTTGAGCTCTGGGAATACTTGGCATTGTGAGTGTGACAGTGCAGAGGCGAGAGAGAGAGAGAGAGAGAGAGAGAGAGAGAGAGAGAGAGAGAGAGAGAGAGAGAGATAACGCACTCAGTAGTGAACGGCGCGGGATGCCTGTTTGTGGAACAGGCTTGTGCTCTCTCTGTGCGTAAATGTGCTTTTGCAATGGATATACATACATTTGTATACATGTGCTAGGAAAAGAATTTCTCTGCTGGACGGAGATAGGAGTAGGTAAAGCTCCAGAAGCCCAAATGACCTCATTAAATTGGGACAGGTACATTTAGGAGTGGAGGGGTGGCGAACTCTCCCTTCCCACCTGCGCCCCCTCTCTTTTGAAGTCTGCATATGTAGATTACGAAAGGGAAAGGGTGACAGGGTCGGGACAGGAGCGTGATGGGAAGGATCAACCAGGGAACGTCATTAGCCTGCTCAGCCACCTTGGCAGCGGCTCTGGCGTTGATTTCAGTCAAGATGTCAGGATATGTTTTGCTGTTGCCGGGATAAAGGAGTTCGATGCAAACAGTTTCCTGGTCTTAATGAGGACACACAGCAAAACCCTCCTTAGCAAGTGCGCTGAGGTTATCACTCTCAACTCGATTCACCTAAAATAATCTTGCCTTTTTGCCATCTATTTCAATGCATGACTAACTAGTCAGAGTGAAGGACTTTAAAATACTTCATTTCTCAAAAATCAGTGGCATCTTCACTGTTAATAATGGAGCACAGAACAAAGTTTGATTACGGTAACAAAGACTGCTGCTAAGATACCAATTTCTGAGATTTATTTGCAAACACATTGCTAATCCTATAATCCAATTATTTTTCCCAAATGAATTCTGACCATCATTTCAGTATGAGCCTGGAAAAAGATTTATCTGTGAGCTTATAGCACATTGAACAGCACCATAGTTTCTAGTTTCTACAGCTCCAATAATTCACAAGCCCTTTTTCACTCACATCTTCCAGGAGTGAGATAGGATTGAAAATTACGTTTTACAGTCAGAAAAAGTTGAAGCATGAAGAAATGAAATTTATTGAAGGGCATCATTAGAAGCATCTACTTTTAGTCCCAGTGTTTAGAACACATATACCTTTCATCTTCAGAGGTTTTCTCTTCAAGGAAATATTTCCAAAGTGTTTCCAGAGACATAATTCTGGATTGAGAAGTTCTCCCAGTTTCTCCAAAAATGCAACTACATTTGAGAGGAGTGTAGTATCGATTACAGTCAATCTGTAGGAAGGCAACACGGTGGAAATTTGATTTGTTCGGCCACTGAAAGAGAAAAGAGGAAATAAAAAAGCTAACATAGTAGCAAACATTGTTTACTGTACAGCAAGGCTCTATGTTTACATAATGTATCTTACTCAGTCCTTAGTATAATACGTGGAGACAACCACTGCAGTTAGCCTCACTTTATAAAGAACCAAGCTGATACATGATAGAGTTACCTGTCTTGCCTGGCCTAAGGTAATGGTGATGGGGAAACCTGATCCCACCATGTCTGATGTCTAAGTCAGCGTCCTTTCCTCTTTGCAATATTCTACGTGACCTGTCAAAGAGTCTTGTTTTCATTGTCTAGTGCCAACAACAACATGAACAAGATTTCAATCAATAAGTTTCCTGCCAACTCATAGACAAGCAAGAGTTAGAAGAGATAATTTATAAATGATCAATTTTTCAATGGTCACACATATAAAGAATATCTATTATTTTATAGTTTTAAATCACTGATTTTTTTCTCCCTTTGTTCTCTTCTGTTTCTACTTCCTACCATCTATTCATCTTTTTCTGTATTGATCATGGGGAAAAAAGTTATTTAGTAGAGTTCATCAAGATAATTTTTGATTGGGTATCCTTTAGAGATGTGAAAATATTTAGAAATGGATTCTATAAATAGGAAGTGCCAATTCTCTTTCCTTGTCAGATTTTCCCTCCAAATACCTATAGAAAAAAATTTATGTTGGCTTTAAACAGACCATGAGTTGCCACTAAATGGGAGAAAATAAGTCCCTTCTCAAAAATTGCTCTCTATTATTATAACCTCTCAAAATTTATATGCTCTGGCTGAGTACCACAGAGGCAGTTTTACATGCAAATGAATGAAATGACCACAGAGGAATGAGTATGTTTAGGAAAACCAACATAAACACTTGGCACGGGGATTATCCTTAAA